GGCAGCCCAGCTCCAGGTTGAGCTGTTGTTCACCATCTTAGCTGTAGAGGGCGCAGCGTCACTGGCCCTCATGTGGGATCTGAACCGGGACCCTACTGCTCAGAGCTGGCGTCCCAAGCCAGCTGTTAACCAGCATGCCACTCAGCCGGCCCTGTACTGGTTTTTAAAGCAAGTGTCGTCAGGACAGGAATGCAGCCTATTGAAGGGGACCTGTGCTGCACCCCCTGCAGACTCGCCCACGGCAGCAGGAAGAAAGCACTCGGCTTAGGAGATTGGGTGCACTTGATGACCCCCGGCAGGTGACCAGCGACCCCCAAATCTTTGGTCTCAGGGCTTTCTGTCAACTTGCAACCTTCACTTGATGACGCTGCCATAAGAAGACCTTACCTTCCTTTTTCTAACTCTGAGCTCGTAGGGTACCTTTTGCTGTTCAGTTAGGCCCCTTGATGATCAGCTACCATGAGGGGAGGGTTTTGTTACTGTACATTATCTAAAGGTAGAGTCAGGTTTTCTGGTTTGCATATTGGTCATTTGTTACATTGGCCAACATGAGTTGGCACCGCCAGCCCACCTCCTGTCCTGATGGTCTCCCAGAGATCAGAGCTGAGGAGTAGGTCTGAGCCTTCACTGCTCTGAGGACCTTCCAGGTGCTACTCATGGGCGTCTTTTTACCATGTCGGCGTCTTTTTACCATGTCGGCAGCTGCATCGGTAGAGAGTAAGTTTCCCCTTAGACATTATACTTTCCCCTGCGTTTCGTTCTCTCATTTTGGAAAAACAGACTTGCACATTCAAGAACAGTGTATACAACAGCTTTTCCCACCCCATGTGATAGACACTGCCATGGAACCTGGAATGTGCTGGGGCCTTGCCAGGGCCACCGAAGAGTACCTTGAAAGGGGTCACGTGGCACCTGCAGCCTGCCGTTGGCTAACGCGGGCTCAGGGCTGGGCTCGCTTGCTCTCTGGCTTGGGGTTCAGGTCTGTCAGCTTCTCAAAATGCCTGCAGGTCTGTGGGGACAGTGAACGGTAATGGCCAAACCAGAAACTTAGATGAAGAAGAACATGCTAAATCAAGGCGAAAAGGCTCTGTTTTGACCCTTGGAAATTGTATGATGCAGGCTGGAAGTTAGATGGCAGGATGGAAAGAGCTAGACCCACAGTGGCCCTGGTCTCGCCGTGGGACCTGAAGACGTGTTTTAAGTTTGTTATTTCATAAAATGAGGAGGTTTGGTTGAGCTCAGTGTTTTTCATGCTGTGAAAGCAGTGTCCAGCACAGAGTGGGGGCTCAAATATTGATTGAATGAATGAGGGAATAAAAGAGTTCTAGAGAGCCTCGCTACTTAAGGCGTGAGGCAGAGGGTGGGAGGCGGGTGTCTGGGCAGTTCTCCCCCGCCGCACCTGTGCCCCTTGAAGCTGTTTCAGGTATAATATTGGTTCCTTTACTCTGAGGAATGTTTGAACGGCCCTAGATTAGATCTCTGAACGAAACGATGGCGTGCTTCTGCCATCGACCCATTTCTTTCTCCTCACTTTCACACCCCTGTATACTTTTTACTAAATTAAAGTTGCAGGAGAATAAATGCAGTTTCAGTCAGACGTAGGGTAGGAAGTGCTGCAAAGGGGCTGTATGAGTGTCCCAGGGCTGCTGTCACACACTGGGTGGCTTAGAACAGTTTCCCCTACCCAGTTCTGGAGGCCAGGCGTCTGAAATCCAGGGGTGGGCAGGGTGCGTTCCTCCCGGAGGTTCTGAGCCTGCTCTGTGCCTCTCTCCAGCTTCTGGGGGTTATCGGCAGCCTTGGCATTCTTTGGTTCATAGGCACAGCGCCCCAGTCTCTGCCTGTCGTCCTGGGGCTTTCTCTGTGTCTGTCCAGACTTCTCCCTTGTAAGGACATCAGTCATTGGATTAGGGTCTGAACAGAGGTGGATTGAAAGTGAATGGTGGCTGTGAGAGGATGAACAGGAGGGACTGATTGAAAGTGACAGGAGTGCCTAGATTGTGGTGAACATACCCATGTTCCGAGACAGAACAGAGTTTTGTGGAGTGGGAACGTGGGCTCTGGCTTATCTGGGTGAGCACTTGTGCATGTGGTGAAGTCACAGTCTATTAGCTTGAAAATGACTAGACAGCATGCCACCATTGCCCTCCTCGTGAAGCTGCTTGGGGTCCCCCACTGTGCCTTGCACATAGTAAACACACACCAAGGGGTGGTGGCTTCTGATCCGTAAATCCAGGCAAGGGGAATGTGAGTCTGACGGGGCAGCCAGTTCCTCTCTGGGTTCTGTGGGAACAGCTGCAGACAGCATGCGGAGTGCTGATTCGGAAGCACCCCTGGGGTCCACGCAGAAGGGGGGAGGGAGAAGATGGGCTCTCAGCCACAACCTTGGCCAGCCCCGTGGTGCGCTGTGAAGCTGGACCAGCCCCAGGATCAGACCTGGTTTCTCTCGTCAGGCAGCCTTTGGATGTGGAGCACTCCTGGGGAGGGGAGGATGTTGAGTGGGGAGCTCTGCAGGCGAGGCCATCCCTCAGGGCTGACAGCACTCCTAGCAGCCGCCAGTGCGCCCTCAGCCGGGGGTCTGGGTGTTGTCTGTCACAGTGGGACAGTGTTTTTCTTAGACCAATTTTTTTTTTTAAGCTGAGCCATCCTGCCACCTGTTGGCAGCTCAGCAGCAACTTAGCTCGGGCCGGGAATCAAACTGCTGTTGCTCAGAGCTCGCACTCTTGAGCGAGCTCTTAACCACCTGAGCCACTCGGCCGGCCCTTCTTAGACCAATTTTTGATTGGTTTAGTTTCATTCATTGGTTGGCCTTCTGGAAAAATATAGGGTAAGTCTGTTCTCCTTCCTCTGTGACTCCCCTCAGCTCCCCCCTCCCCTACTATTTATGTGTGTGTGTGTGTGTGTGTGTACAGACTTACAGTGTACGTTAAGCTTTCCTTTCCCAGATTAAACATACTAGTTTCCTTAAACTTAGTTATTTCACATGCTTCTGTGCTAACTTGGTATTTTCTTGGTGTAGAGTTGAGACTTCCTTGGTTTTCTTTAGCAATCTAGCTGTGTATTTTCAAATATTTAACAGTGGCATTGAGATCCCTGGGGCATAGTTCATTCTCAAAATTTTGGAACTTATTTCATTTGAATTTAAAATTCTCAGTTCATTTAACCTGGCCTCTCTTTTTCTCCTGTTGAATTTGTCCTGCTTTAATGATTTGAAAGACGAAAGGAATCCGTGGTCAAGTTGGGCCACCTTAGAGCAGAAAGTAATTCTCAGAAAGACAAGCTGGGTGCAGGCCGTTGCTGCGAATGCGTCTTTCGTCATCTCCCTGGAGGCCTGGACAGCCCTGCCGGGTAGGTGTGAGTTGTTGTCAGATGGTCTGTGGTAGCCAGGAACTTGACTTGGGAGTTTGTTCAGCCTGCCTTCAAATCCCAACTTCCTGTTTCTTGCTGTTTGGGGAAATTAATTTTCTATTCTAAGCTTCAGTTTCATCATCTAAAAAAGGAATAATAACGGTATCTACCTCATAGAGTTGTTAGAATGAATGAAAAGACATGTAGAACACGTAGGTAGTAAGGATTCGATGCGCAGACACTGCTGCTGCTGTTGCTGGAAGGAAACCACAGGTATGCATGCTCTGGGGAAGGAAGCCATTCACTAATTCTAGATAGCGACGGCTGAGCGAGATCTATGATCTTAAACTTCATGTGGAAGGAGATATTCTTAACCAATGAAGACTGTCCACAGAAAACCTACAGAGAGCATCAGTGTTCACGAGGAAGTGTGGAAACATTTCCTGTGCTATCTGGTGTGAGACAAAGGACGCTCCTCTGATACCACTTGTCTTCCTGTCCCTCCGGGGCCAGCCCGCACAACCCGGCAGGACTGTGGGATGCTACAAACAAACTCTCATCAGCACAGATAATGATAGTGCAGAAAACCTAAGATGGTCTGTAACCTCCTACCTAGGAAGACATCTCCAGCCAAGGCCTGTGTGTCAAAAATTAAAACTGATTTGAAAGATCTAAAAAGAGACCCAAATAAATGAGGAAAGGGCTCTTGTTCATAAATAGGAAAACGCAATATTGTGAATCAGTCAGTTTTCCTCAAATTGATCTGTATATTGAACACATTTCAACCAAAATCCTAGCAGGCTTTCTCATAGAATGTGATGGCTCATTCTTAAAGTTATAAGGAAGAGCAAAGGGCCAAGAGCCGGGAAGACACTCCCGATTCGGGACCTCACGTAAAGGCCTGGTGATAAGACAGGTGGTGCTGGCGGGTGGGTCACTCCATAGTTATAGTTACTGGCTAGGTCACACCTGGAAGATGCGTTTAGATAAGATTACTCTAATTTATTAAATATTTCAAGGGATGGATAATTTCTTTTCACATTCACTTGAGTAGAATGCTTATTACTAACCCCCGAATCAAATATTTCACTGATAGAAAACTTGACCAGAATCAATAAGAAAGGAATAATCAGAATTATATTTAACAGGAGTCATTTGAAAGTTGATTTTTTTATGTGTAGTGTTTGGGTAGTTAACTATTTTTCTTTCATCTTTGTATATTTTCCTGAGCCATGCAGTGTATATTTCTGCGACCTTTTTTCTTCCTTTACATTTGCCTTTGTAATGTAATAATATTCACCTGAACATATCAGTGGAATTTTTACCTGTATAGGGCTCTACAGGTAGTCATCTCAGCCTTTTTTTGAGGGGAAGGGTCTTAATTAGCGTAAAAATTTCAATCCAAAATGTATCACCTCTGCTGAGGACCATACTTTACTGAGTATCTTAAATATATTTTTGAGAATTTCGCATTATTAGTCTGTCTTTAAAGTATTTATACTTTAGGTTTGGAGGAATATGTCTATTTCACTGATGCAGGGAGAACGCCATAGATAAATACCCATATTTCCCCATGTGTAAGACGCATCCTTTTTTGAAAAATTTGGGGTCTAAAAACTGGGTGCGTCTTATACAGTGGTTGTATGAGCACAAAAACAAGCGTGAAAAAAATGGGAAATGCAAGTAAAAAACTACAACCACTGTATAAGATGCACCCAGTTTTTAGACCTCAAATTTTTCAGAAAAGGGTGCATCTTATACATGGGGAAATATGGTAGTCATAGTCATGCTTTGGCTATAAGTGCAGTAGGACTTCTCAGCATGTTCCCTGATTCGGGGATGCCTGAAATACACTTGAACTAGGCAGCATTTCTAAATTTTTAGCAGCTGTGCCTGGCACCCAGCAAATGTTTGTTACTTCCCACCGGGCTTGCCCCTCCAGCCCCTGGAGTGTGCCCTCTGAGCACCACACTCTGCCTGCTTCCATTGTAGAGCCACTGGCCAGTTGGTTCGCTCCTCGTGGTGGCCCTGCCATGAACACCCTGTTGTCAAATGTCTGTCTTTTGATCCACTGCAAAATGGCGTGGTGGTTTGTGAAATGGAAACAAACCCAGGATCATGTCAATGGCCGTAGGCGTCCCCTTGGTGCTCAAGTGCCTGCTTCGCTGCTGAGCCTGTGGTGTGCACCACAGGTGGGTGGCATGACCCTGCCCTTGAGTGGTGCCCAGAATGCGCTGAGCATGCTGACTTCAGCCACAGCCCCTAAGTGGGGGGTAGTCGCAGGTAAGGAATGAAGATGGAGGCGTGCCTGGGGAAAAGGGAGAATCTGGAAGTTTCTGACAGCAGATCAAAAGGAGGACTGATTCATTTACTGTATAGAATAGTACAATTTATGCAGATTATTGAAAGGAAAGCAAAGAAGGATATACTTAATGATCTTATTCCCGAATTGTATCTTCAGTCTAACTTTTTAGTTCTGGGAAATTCAGGATATAAGGACCCTAGATGACCTATGTCTTTATAACTTGGGCCTTAGGGAAAATGTGCATTCTTCCTGGCCACGGGTCATATTTCCCAAAGTATGCTCTGAAAATCACAAAAAAGGCCCATAATGAAAAAAGTATGGAAAACGCTATCTGCTGTGCTATTTCCTTCCTGGCGGTTCCAGGTACACATTGCTATAATAGTAAACGTTTCAAGATGTCCGAAAATAAACAAACCTGCTTTTGTTTCATTTCTGGTATTTCCCTAATTTTTGCAAAAGGAAGAAGTTCTATAGCAAAAACAATAAAATTTTATATCACCCAGAATACACTTTGGGGAAACTGTAGCAGGTTATCTTTTAAATGATGACGCTGTTCATTTAAGTAGCTTCCTAGGGGCTATAGCAATAGTAATCTTAAGAGTCACATCTAAATACATGATTTAATCTGTGAAGCGTATAATTAATGGATGGAAAATGCAAACAAGTACTTTGAACCTATTCTGAGTTCTAAAATGTATATCTTTTTGCAAAATCAAAGAGAATCTTATTCTGATACTTCAAAATTTCTAACTAGTAGGCTATGCATCAGATAATCCATTAAAATGTTTTCTAGTATAATAGCTGTCTTTTTGGCAGATATGAAACCATTACTGACATATTGCTATTACTTCATTTTATTTTGGACAACTGTAATGTGTAGTAGTTAGCTGTGGCTTTTTGTAGTAACTTAAACAAAACTTGACCCACAGTCTTACCAGTGAATTGCAGAATTTCAGGCCATTTTGCCCCCTCATTGAAATTCAGAAGCTAGATTACGTTCTAGTTTTGATATTAGTAGTTGAAGCTATAGAATTTTTATGTACAGAGATTTTGTCAAGCAAAAGTATCACTTCGAAAAAGTATTTTAGTACACAATGATCTAGTATTTTGTTTGATAAAATGCTTCATGCTGGACAAAGTGAGTTTTATCACGTGAGAGCTTTTTGCCGTTTCAAAAAGTCTAAAAATGTTTTAATTTTTTCTTTCTAAATAAACTTGCTCAGAATTTAAATTTGCATTTCTTAGAGTGAAGAGCAGTTTCGATTTCCCCCAATTGAAGTTTTTAAACTTCTAAAATTTAATTGTTCCATCACTTTTTCAACAAATTTTCTAAAAGCTTTTTGAATTTTATAATAACCTTTTGTTTTTGATTTTTTGGATTTTGCTTGGTAGCTGTTTTTTTATCTTTTGCAAGAGGACTATTTGTTTCTTTCAGATCTAAGTATACAGAGGGTATAAGTATACAGAGGGTGGCAAAAAATGTATACACATTTTAAGAAAGGAAAAAACTATTAATTGTAATATTCAATATATACTGATAACAAAAGATGAATACAAGTCTCATGTGACTTCTGCAATTACAAGAGGAGCTCATAGTGGTTCCCATCAGCGTCCAGACACTTCTGATGACTGCGAACTGCTGCTTGAGCAGAGATAACATCTCTTAAAATGTGTATACCTTTTTTTTGGCACTCCTGGTATACATATTCCCCCTCCCCTTTGACCAGATGGCTTTATGCATGTGTGTTCACCCTATAAACTGTTGACAAAGAACATCCAGCCTAAGAAAAAAAGTCTTTTAAGAGCTTATTTGAGCCAAACGGACAGTTGCCAGGAAGCAGAATCTCAACAGATTAAGAAAATGCTCTGGAGAACGGCAGTTTTGCAGCTTATTTTATACATCAGAATCAAAGGAGGAGACGTGAGGGGGGCTTACGTGGAATCCACGGTGGTCAGGGGTGGGAGAAAGCAAAGCGGGGAAATCTCTGGGATTGGATACAAGGAAAGCGGAGAGACACATGCTGCTTCCACACTGGGGGGTCCAGGACAGTAAACTTGTACAGAACTAGAGATGGTATGTGGGCAACAGGATAGCAGTGTGGGCTGTGCTCTGGTATCTTCAAGGAGTCTGGAAAAGGAGATGACTCGGACATTTCAAAGGTATGTTTCCTTAGATGCACAAGACAATAGACAATTTCAAAGGGAAAGACTGATCTTTGTCGAGGAAGCTACTGGCCCAGGACGTGACTACCACCATGACCTGCGTTTAGTCAGGAATTTTTATGTTCAGACCATCCTGTGTGGTTCCTTTGGTCTCTGGGTTTGTAGGGTCCACCATGCGGGCCTCCCCTGAGCTTGTCACGTTGAGTATGTGGCCCCTTTTCGGCCACAACTGCCTGACTCAAAGTTTGCTCCTTCTAGGGGAAAAGAGGCATTTTTGTAAATCTCTAGAAGGGCTTTTTTGAAGGCATAAAAAACTGCCATTTTTGTAGCCCTGCTAAAGAATTCTGACATCTAATAGATCTAAATGAACTAAGCACCTCATTGATTATTGTAATGTGATAACCTGCAAATAAATTTTAATCTGTGAAAAGCAAAAATGTTAGCAGATGAGTATGAATCATCAAATACCTGCCAGTCAAGTAAAAGTTAGATATAAAACAATGTTACTTTTACACAAGCAGGTCATCTCCGT